GCTGATGATTTATATAAAATATATATCACCCGGCTTGAAGGTAGATATTGGCCTGATGACTGTCCGTTTAAACACCTGATGTAATCGAGTAAAGTTTCCACAGGACAACCAGACTGGATTCACCCAGGTATACGCGTCCATATACCCCGACACACACACACGTATAACCGCTTATATGAGACTATTATAACTGGTTTTGCTTGTACGATTTGTTTAGCAAAAAGATGGTTACAATATTTGCCCGTGTTTTCTTTTTTGGTTTTGTTTTTAAGTTAGTCTTTCTTTTGTTGTACGTTTTTGTCTCCCCACCTCTCTTTACCTTATTTAATATCTTTTGTTTTTATTTTCCCTTTGATCTTTTTTCTTTTTTTCTTTTTCTAAATTGTTCTTTTTTTTTTTTTACTTTTATCGTTCTTTTCTTCACACACTTTTTCTGTCTCTCTATCATTCTCGATTCTTTGTTATCGTTTGTACGAGCTTTTTTGTTTGTTTCTGAGTAACTTTGTTTCTTTGTTTCTTTTTTGTTTTATTTCAGGTGTTAGTTTATTTATTTATTTCGCCTTCTTGTACATTTTTCTAAAGTTTACCTTTGGTTCTTTTTTTCTTTTTTCTTTCTTTCTTTTTTTCTTTCTTTCTTTTTTTCTTTCTTTCTTTATATTTTACCTTTGTACTTTTTTCTATGACCTTTCTTTCTTTGTTCATCCTTTACTTTTTAATTTCTTTTCTTTCTTTATTCATATTTTATTTATTTAGTTTTCTCTATTATTTTTCTTTCTTTCATTTTTCTTTCTTGCTTTTTTCTTTCTTTCTTCCTTTTTCTTTCTTTCTTTCTTCCATTCTTTCCTTCTTTCTTTCGTTGTTTCTTTGTTAATATTTTACATTTTTTACATTTTTACATTTCTAATATACCTTATTTCATTCTTTCTAAAATTTCTTTGACTTTCTTTTTTATTTCTTTCTTTCTTTTTTCTTTTTTAAAATTTTATTTACATTCTCCTCTTCTTTTCGTTTTTTATTGTATTCTGTATTTAATATTTTCATTTCAATTTTCCTTTAATTTTTTCAGTCCCTTTCATTCTTTGACACTTATTTCTCTTTCTTTCGCTTTTTTATTTTCTCTGATTTTCTTTTCTTTTCTTTTCTTTTCTTCTTCTTTTTTATATTCATCGGATGTTCTGAGCATTTATTTTTTTTAAACAAAATTTCTTTCTTTCTCTGCATCACTTTTCCTTTTCTTTCTCAATTATTTAGCAATTATTTCTTTATTTACATTCCTCATCTTTCTTTCTTTTTTCGTTCTTTCTTTCTTTCTTTCTTTCTTTCTTTCTTCTTTCTTTCTTTCTTTCTTTCTTTCTTTCTTTTTTCTTTCTTTTCTTACAATGCTTTTCTTTCTTTCGTTCTTTTTTCCTTACATTGCTTTTTTTTTTTTTCCTTACATCCTTTTTTTCTTTTTCTCTTTTTTTTTTCTTTTCTTTCTTTCTTTTTTCTTTCTTTCTTTCTTTTCTTACATTGCTTTTCTTTCTTTCGTTCTTTTTTCCTTACATTCCTTTTCTTTCTTTCCTTACATTACCTTTCTTTCTTTCTTTCTTTCTTTCTTTCTTTCTTTCTTTCTTTCTTTACATTACCTTTCTTTCTTTCTTTCTTTCTTTCTTTATTTCTTTCTTTCTTTCTCCAACTATTTCATTTACATTGCATCATCGACATTATTTTCTCTATTTCCTGTCGTTTAAACGTCTGTTCAGGAATTTTATCGAATATTCGCAATATGAGGCAGACCGAAACTCGTAATTTGGTAAATATTTTGAGATTTCGAAAGTCAGGAAATTTCAGAGAAATAAATGCCGTTGGTTTACATCTACGCAGACTTAATTGACTTTCCTGCAAACGGCATTGAAAAAGGGTCATTATTCATAAAAAAATATTATATAATAAACAGTAATAATTTTAGAAAAAGCACGCGCACACACGCACAAACACACACACACAAACACACGCTCACACGCGAGAGCGCTCACACACACACATGCACACAGACATATATATATATAATGATGAAAAAAACATAGTTTTAAAGTGTGGTATATTTATGGGTTAAAGTGCTCAAATATCAGGGATAGAACGTATGTATATATAAAAATCGACACTGAGCGGCGACAGTTTGATTCATGGTTAAATGCAATCTTCAGGCCAAAATGCGACGTGCTTTATTTTATATATATATATATATATATATATATATATATATATATATATATATATATTATATTTATTGTTTTTTTTTATAGAGACAAATATTTAAGTAAATGTTCTGCTTATAATAAACAATATTAACAACATTTACCGGCCTGAAAATGTCTTAAAAATAATTGTCGAACTTTATCCATTTCATAATATATATATATATATATATATATATATATATATATATATATATATATATATATATATATAAAAGGACACGTATATTATTAACACACGGCGGCAATCTTTCTTTTTTTAATGCACAAAAACGCAGACTTCAGGCCATGTTTTGTTGTGTTTTGTTTCAAGTATTTATATATTGTATTATCCTAATGGTTACTTTGTGGGAGTTTTCAAGTTTATTTTCCAAAATATTTTAGAGGCTACTGAGAAGAAATAATTTTGAATCTGAAAGCGATTATTTGCAGTTACTTTATACTGCTGTTTTCGTTAACATTTTTGCACATTATTTAATACCATATTTCATGTTTTTTTTTTGTTAATTTTTGTTATTACGTTTCGTTCAGCATTTGTCTATATTTCTGAGATGAGGTATTATGTACATTATTCGTAAACGTACGGAATCAACACGTATGTTAGGCCTCAAAAATCTGATGAGCCGACAAGCATAGAAATAAATACAATATGGGGAACCAGTGTTTAAGGATGTCAGGTTTTTTTGATAATAACAAACAAAATTGCAATATGAGCTCCAGGAAAAACATGCAATAATAACAGCAAAAATTGCAATATGAGCACTGGTAAAAAAAAGTTGCTGAAGATATTCGGTTTATAACACCCAAAGATTAACACAGAGATGTCCTCAAGGACGCATGGCGCAGTTGATAAAGTCGTTAGTTAGATCCAGTGACAGTACACAAGGAGTGTGAGTTCAATACCCAGGTAAGACAGTGGAGAACTTTCAGAAGGAAATTAGCAGGAGGCAACTGATAACTGACATCCATTCAAAAAACGTGGAACTGGAGCATTTCTATGCTCATATTGCAATTTCTATATATATATATATTATGAAAGTCCGACAATTATTTTAAGACATTTTTAATGTTTATACGTTCTTTCTATTGATACAAATATTTAAATAAATGCTCTGCTTATAATAAACAGTATTAACGACATTTATCGGCCTGAATGTCCGAGAAATTTTCATAGAAAATATGCGTCCTCCGACAGGAATCAAACCTGTATCCTATACGGAACCGTCATTTAAAGCCTGACGTAAAGACACCGGATTGAGCCATAGAGGAGCGTTTCGGTTAGCAAGGTAATTTTACTGTTTTTCCGATAGGATACAATTCGATCCTGTCGGGGGACGCATATTTTCTATGAAAATTTCTCGGACATTCAGGCCAGTAAATGTTAATACTGTTTATTATAAACAGAGCATTTATTTAAATATTTGTATCTATAAAAAGAACGTATAAACATAAAATATATATATATATATATATATATATATATATATATATATATATATATATATATAAGATACTATATTCTATCATACTTTTACAACCATTACTACGAGGATCTTCCTTATGTAGGTAATACATACGTGTTGTCTATATCAAATTATGTTTATTTAGCAGACGATAATAATTTTCTCACTCGGTAAATAGACCTTCTATCATTCTCCTTTTAATATCTACCAAATATTTTCTTTTTATAATACTCAAGAAATGTTTCTAAACCTGTAAATATATACATTTAGGCTTATATAAATATATAATTCTCTCCATTTTTGTTTCTTTCTTAAGTGTGCGTTCACTCAATTTTCCCGCCGCTTACGTATAACTGAAATTTTTCAGTGCAGATCATTTAACACTGAAAAACATAAAAAAAAAACAACTTTTTTTTTCTCTTAATTTAAAAAAAAATAATAACAACTAGTTTCCTGCCATTAATCTGTCTGCAGTAGTATTCATAAACTTCGGTATTTTTCCTACATGGTATAAGCTTAACAAAGGGTAATATTTTCCTTGGGTTTAAGTGCATTTACATAATTTGTGTCTCTGCGCGAGTACTTAAAGATCGCCATATTTGTTTTATGACTCATGCACTTTTGTCATGTAAGATTCTCTTCATGTTATCGGGTTATTTATCTCTCTTAAACAGAAACATTTTTTACAGCACAGAATGAATATATCAGGAACAATTATATCAAGGTTTCTTTAAAGAAAGCAAATTGCTCCTCTTGTGAAGAGAAAGAAGAGAGTGAAAAGTTAATATGCAACATGTAATGATTTAGCATGTATCTGATCCTAACCCTGAAACTTAAATATATAAAGTTATTTATTTGTGTGTGTGTCTGTGCGCGCGTGTGTGTGTGCAAATTTAAAATTATGACGTCAAATAAATGCGGTTTTAGTTATTGATATGCATACAGTAACGAAATGCATCTGGCACAAGGCCGTGTTCAAAGAGTAAATCTCTCTCCTCACTTCCGCACAGAGGTGCTTCATATGTATAAAGCGTTGATCTGGTACAGGCTAGGCCTTGGTCGTTCAAAAATATATATATATATTTATATATAAAGTAAAAAAAAATATATAAAAATATTATTTATATATATATATTATTATTATTATTTTCATAAGAGTATAATAAAAACATGTTTAAACATGTTTTTATAATAAAAATAATAATATATTTCCATTCTACTTTGCATTGAGTAGTTTTTAAAAGTAAATGCTACAAACAGTGGAATTTTATCCCGTCTGTTCTTTACTCCTATATATATATATATATATATATATATATATATATATATATATATATATATATTAAAAAATTTAACTTTTAAATATCAATTTTGAAATAGAATAACTTCGAAGTTTCTTGGTAAAATTTTCTATCTTCAGGGGGTTTTGGTTTTAAACAATATTTCAAATTGTTTTCAATTTTTCCATTTAATTTAATGGAAAAAAATGAAAAAAACAGGGAAATATCGTTTAAAACCAATACCTCTTGCAGACTGGAAAGTTTACCAAGAATCTTCGAAATCGGAGTAAAATGCTATTTAAAAGTGAAATAATTTTTTCATATAATATATATATATATATATATATATATATATATATATCTCAAAAAGTAGACATTAAAGTTAACATCAGGTGGCGACGGTTTGTTTCATGTTTAAACGCAGTCTTTAGGCCATTGATCAAAAAGAATCGGCAAGATCTGTCGGTTTAATTTTTTTATTGTATTTTTTAAATTTTCAGATAAGGTTTTGGAAAATTGAGATCCACATTGTACGATGAAATGACCGAAGTTCCTGTTGGGTTGTTGTCTTCAAGTTTTTTGACCGTCTCAAGTTCTTTGACCGTATGTAAATATAAATATAAAACTGAACATTGAAATCAACACTCAAAGGCGACTGGCTGTTTCATACTGAACGCAATCGTCAGGCTCTATATATATCACTATATATATATATATATATATATATATATATATATATATATATATATATATATCACCATATATATCGTCATACTGGTATTTATATATATATATATATATATATATATATATATATCACCATATATAAAAAAAACACACACATATATCACCATATATATATATATATATATATATATATATATGCCTTAACTTACATCATTTGAGAAGATTACCAGAAATGTTGAAACAAAATGGCTTTTTTTGTAGTGATTTTAAAACATTTTTATGTTATAATTTGAATTAACAATGATCCACAACACACACACACAACACACACACACAAACACACACACACACATTTCTTTATATATATATATATATATATATATATATATATATATATATATATATATATACATATGTTTGTGTGTTGAAATTTTGTGTGTGTAATTAAAAAATATGTATGTGTGTATGTATATTTTTATATAGAAAAGATAGATATAAAAGACTGGTTTCATCCATGTTAACAAATTGACACGCGTGTCTCCAAATATGGATAATTACCTGTAATAAATCATGAGAGTCAAAATGAGCTCTTCCCAGCACAACAACTACTATTCATCACTGGACTTTTCATTCTCTGTTTCTTTTTTTCTGTTTTCTTTCTTTCCTTCTTTTCTTTCTTTTTTAGAAATCTTCCATTTTTTCTTTTTTTTTTTCTTTCTTTCTTTTTTTCTTTGCTTTCTATCTTTTTTTTTCTTTCTCTTTTCCTTTTTATTTTCTAAAATTTTCTTTCTTTCTTTCAACGCTCTCTTTCTTTCTTTCTTTCTTTCTTTCTTTCTTTCTTTTCTTTCTTTCTTTCTTTCTTTCCTACATACTTTCTTTTCTTTCTTTTAAATTTTTTCTTTCTCTCTTTCTTTTCTTTCTACGCGCTTTCTTTCTTTCTTTTTTCTTTCTCTCTTTCTTTCTCTCCTTCTTTCTTTCTTTCAGGAATTTTTTCTTTCTTTCTTTCCAGAAAATTTCTTTTTTGTCTTTTCTTTTTCTTTCTCTTGGATTTTTCTTTTTTTTTTTTTTCCTAAAAAACGCGATTTCTAAATTTCTTTCTTTTTTTTTTCTTTCTTTCTTTCTTTCTTTCTTTTTTAGCAATTTTTTCTTTCATTCTTTCCACGATAAATGGATTAAAATTTCTTTTTTCTTTCTTTCTTTAGTTCATTTTCCAATTATTCTGATTTGTGAATTGAACCAATTATAACCGTTTTGTTATTTGCAGGAGTCCTGAGAAAATGTTCACTGTGCACTAATCCAAAATAATCCCGTTTTAACACACGCACTCACACACACACGCATAGACACACACACACAAGCATGCACACACACACACACACACACACACACACACACACACACACACACACACACACACACACACACACACAGAAAATGTCTTCACGCAGAAGCACAAACATCATCACAGTTTAAGACTTTCTTCTCTGTGCCGTGTCCATCCTGACCTGGGTAATCATGGCTGTCTACAATTCCCTGTCTTTGTAGCTCTTAGTAAAAAAAAAATATCTTTTTGCTATCAATCCTAATCCCTGTTCTGCCAAACATGTACAGAATCTTGTTAGATCAGTTGTGCGTTAATTTCCTGTCTCTCTGGCCTTCAAGATTTCCTATGAGTGTCACATTTTCTATACCCTCTTTCCCCATATGTCTGTCATAGAAGAAAAAAATGATTAACTACCGTCACCGAGGTTGGATCGTGACCTTCTGGACTTATAAATATATGTTTTCCCTCAGGTCTATAAATCGCTATGTCAGGCTACCGACTGCAGTGACTATTGAGTAGAACTATCCAGTCGAATTAGTGTGAATTATTGCGCGTCGATGATTTGGGTTTTAATTTAAGATTTACCGGACGTTAAGCCGAGTAGCGCTACTAACGAGGTATTCCCTGAAATGGTTAATTATCTTTAGTTGAGTTTTACTTCTTTGTTTTTGTTAAGTATTTATTTGCGGTTGTAATTAAATACTGTTTTTAACATTGAAGTCTTGAGTTATACTTAATTATTAACGGCCAACGTACATCACAAAAGTGCCAAATGTGGGCAAGGTGGGCAATAATCTGCTTTAAATCTTCTTGTTTGTGACATGTAAAACACGCAAAAAAAATTATTGCCCAATAACTTATCGACATTCTATCTTGAGAGGCTACTGGGCCTTACACCTGGCCTCAAATGGAACATACAATCAATCGCTTATGAAGCAGGGAAAATGGTTGGCTTGCTGTATCTTTCAAATAAGTACCTGACTCCTCATTATGTCCATTAGCTTTATAAGAGCGGAATACTGTTTTCATATTTTCCCAGTACTCACTTTCCGGCCTTGAGAGAGTTTAATAGCGTCTCCGAGTCCTTGTGGATGAGGATTCATTTTCCATCCTCAAGCCACTCTCTTTCTCTCTCTTTGGAACGGGCGCGATGTGACAAGACTCTGCCTGCTCTATCCATAGAAAGTGCTCGGATAAACTACATTCCTTGGTTCCACTACTTGTAACCTTCACGGCTAGGACCCGCCATGACACATACATTGTAGCAACTCACATTCCACTCGAAATAAGTTCCATTCAACCAACTTCTTCCCACGTGATACTGCACTGTGGAACCGACTCGAAAGAGGATTTTTCCCCGATCACAGCAATCTTAACCTTTTCAAGTGTAGAGTTAACCGTTATCTTCCCCTTCTATCCATATAAACAGTCTCTTAACGAAAACCTTTACACGGAGTGGCCCCCGAGCCTTCTACTGGGTGACTCTTACTGTAATTATATATATATATATATATATATATATATAGATATATAGATATATATATATATGTAAGCAAATGTAAATGGATATAGATCCGACAGAATGAAGAAAAATTTGGAAAAAACAAACCAAAAATCTTTAAATGCAATTATGTTGTTTAAAATGAATGAAATGTCGACGTCTGACGTTTCGGTTTAATAAACCTTCAGACGTCGACATTTCATTCATTTTAAACTAACATAACCCCATCTGTTGATTTTTTGTTTGTTTTTTTCCAAATTTATTTCATATATATATATATATATATATATATATATATTGTAACCGGATATAAGAGAGTTTCAGGACCGGAGAAGAAGTCTCTTATATCCGGGTTTCAAATCTAATTTATATACATTAACACAGGCTATAATTTATATACAGAAAATCTCTCTTATATCCTGGTCTCTTATATCCGGGTTATACTGAGGTATATATATATATATATATATATATATATATATATATATATATATATGGTGGATGGACTCTCCAGTCGTATTCATTTCAGTTCCTAGGAACCAACAGCACTTATGAAATGATTATAGTGGTGAAGGCTTTGTGCAGAACCAACCACATTTTTTGAAAAGGCCGAATACGGAGACTTGGTGGCACACGGTCCCGAAAGACCTCCGCAGGATTTGAATTCAGAGTTTTCTTTCTCTTAGACCACTTGCCATCCAGTCTATATTTAACCCTTAGTGATAGCTGGAGGATGGAGAAATTTAAATGAATATTATATATATATATATATATATATATATATATATATATATATATACTTCTAACCCGGATATAATTTCAGAGTTGTTGGGACCGGCGAAGAAAGTTCTTATATCCGGGTTTCTCTTATATCCGTGTTTATCTTATATCCGGGTTTGGTCTATTTTGTTTAGGTAAGTATGGGAACATTTTTGGGAGCAGAGAAAATCTCTCTTATAACATGTTCTCTTATATCCTTCTCTTTATATCCATTTATATCTATTATATCCGGGTTATATATATATATATATATATATATATATATATATATATATATATAGGGAAGAGGTTATAGTAGTTCCAACGAGAGAAAAGTGTGTATATTAAAAAGAAGAGAGAAATCACAATAGTTTTTGGTTATAATGTGGATTTTTTTTAAATATGTTTTATTTTGCACAGTTATGCTACACAGGTTTCCGGTCTCACGACATTCATCAGGCAAAGAGTAGATATTTCCACATATTATTAAAAGTAATTAATTTTTCTTGTTTTTCGATGTTAAATATACTCGATATTAGACATTCTCTTTTTTGTGTTACTGACCCAAATGTCTTCCTTGAACTATATATATTACAACCTCTTAATCAACTTTGGGAGCACCTAATATGCTCAAACCATACCTTACCTTCTCAATGATATGAACTAGTTCGTGTTGGTTGATTACATTATGAGTGAAGCAATTGCGAAATTAAACATAATGTCCATATATTACTGCGTATTCGAGGAATCTGAATAAAGAATAGGCAGGCCCTTAGACGTAATACACACTGTTTCAAATAAAAATCAGGACCGGACGTCTATTTCATGTATGAGTATCCTCGATAATAATGCTTGAAGTAACAAAAATGTTGGATTAAAAATGAAACTTTAATTACGTAGGGAAAAATTGTGCCATGTCTCCCCTCCCGGTTGATTTCATTTTCTTTAGAGTGTCATGTGTAGCATTGCATGAAATGCATTACTATCAGTAAACTACATTCTGCACGAAAATGTTTTATGGCACGACAAATATATCACCACTCCAACCTATCACTAAAAAAGTTAACTCTTCTTTTTAATTACATCCGCTCTCTCCCTTATATTGAGCACTTTTACCCTAAATTTCCATATATTAACAAATATATATATATATATATATATATATATATATATATATATATATATATATATATATATAGCCCCAATATTGTATCGTCGAGGTGAATGATACACAGAGAATAATGAGTTTTAATATATTTATGCAGCACCAGTATCCGGTGCTAACGGATACATACAAAAATACAGAACAATATAGAATAGAAGTGGGTCAAATGCTGTATAGCCAAACGAGATAAGATCAATTCGAATATTAATCAGCTTAGTATCAACTTATTAATCAACTGTTGAAGCCCTTAATCGTAGAATATTTAATCCTATGAGCCAGGCCATTTGATAGAGTCCTGAAGAGGCGCTGGCTGCTCTACTACAAAATACTTTAAAAATTAGAAGATTAGTTGAATCCGCTACCTTGGTTTCAACCTTACGGTATCCTCAGGCGATTTTGTATTTATTTATTTTTTTATTATTATTAATTTGTTTTTAAAACTACAGTCCCTTCCAAAAGTATTGGAACGGCAATACCAATTCCTTTGTTTTTGTAGGTCACTGAACTTATAAGTCCATAAAACCTTCTTCCAGAACTTGCTTCAATCAAATGCTGATTCCGAGACAAGAGTTCAGAATTTCGGCTTTTATTTCCGGGTATTTACATTTTATATCAGATCACCACATTTTTAGTTGAGCAAAAATAAAGGAAGAGATACTCTTAATGTAAATAAGTTTTAATATTTGGTTGCAAAACCCTTGTTTGCAATAGCTGCATCAAGTCTGCGACTCATTGGCATCAAACTGTTGCATTTTTCATTTATGACCCTTTTCCAAACTTTTATCGCAGCCGCTTTCAGTTGTTTTGTGGGGTTTCTTCCTTCAAACTCCTCTTCAGGAAATGAAATGCACGCTTTATTAAGTTATGATCCAGCGATTGAATTGGCCATTTTAAAACTAGCTACTTTTATTCACTGACCAACTCCTTTCTTTTGTTAACAGTGTGTTTTGGGTCATTGACCTGCTGCATTGTAAATTTTCTTCCAATTAGTTTGGATGCATGTCTCTGTAAATTAGCAAACAAAATGTTTTCTGTAGACTTATGAATTCATTCTGCTGCTAATCTCATAAGTTACATCATCAATAAATGACACAATCAATAAGTTGTTTAACGCATCTAAATGTAAATCCCATAGACCTTCTTCATGTTGGTTTATTCTTTTTGATAAGAAATGGAGTCTTTTAGGTGAAACTCAAGGCTAAAACCAAGGTTACTCAGTCAGAGTTATTTAATGCTTAAACAATCAATCTAAAAGGCAACACCTGAACAACAAGAAACGCCTCTCAGGTACGTGTTCCAATCGTTTTGTTAAACTTAAAAAAAAAAGTAGTATGACCTAAGTTGTTTAACACATCAAAATGTGAATACCAGGAGATAAAAGTTGAAAGTCTGAACTCTTGTATATATACTATATATATAAATTATAAATATCCATATATATATATATATATATATATCGTTTTCTTTTCATTTCGTTGTTGGAAGTGCTATCTGATGATCCGGCGTCCTTTTAAAAGGACTCTGGTGAAATAAATTATTATAATGGTACCTTAAAGTGGTCTGTTTTGTTTTTAATTATATATATATATATATATATATATATATATATATATATATATATATATATTTCTTTATCATTTTTATTGCATCATCCCTTGATGTGGCTTTCTTTATTTCCTCCATTCTCATGTTTGAAATCCCCCCTCTCTCCCCCTTTTATTACATTCTCTGTTTATTATTCTCCCTTTGTCTCCCTACAGCTATCGTCATCATCGTCTCTCTGTTTCATCATTTTTACGTTCATTTTTCTCTCTCAATCTTTCTCCATGTTCCTCACCTTCTCAAGGCTACTCCACCTTTTTATTACTTACATCTCATATTCTCTCTCTCTCTCTCTCTCTCTCTCTGTCTCTCTCTCTCTTTATCATTCTCTTTCTCTTAATGTCTGGCTATATCTTTCTGTTTTGACATGTTTTCCTTTTTCGTTCTGCTCTTCCCTCTCATGTTTTTTTATTCTTTCATTCTTTTATTCTCTTTTCCTCTCCATTGGTTTATCTTCATCATTCTGTTTCTTAGTCACTTTC